ACTGCAGATATCTTCACCAAGGCTCTCGGGTCTGGTGATCATCAGCGTTTCTGCACTGCCCTTGGGCTTGTGCCCACTCTGCCTCACTTGCTTATCTCTTGACTTAGTTTTGCCGCTGTTCTACATTGATATAAATCTGTGTACCTGCAAGCTTTCACTTGCTAGGTTGTGATCAGTGTACTGCCATTGCTATTATATCTTTGCATGTGAATTGGTCTTGTGGCCACTTGCTTGTGCTCGGGCTGTGTGGTGCTCTTGAGATCCACCTTGAGCTTTGCTTGTTGCTTCTCTTGACTGGTCTTGTGACTGCTTGTTGCTCTTGTTGTTCCCCACCTCGCCTATGGGGATGTGTCAAAATCTATTTTGTGGTTATAGGCTGTAGTGGGTCATCCTGTAGGGGTTACGACCCGTTTAGAGTTCATACTTGTATCCTCATTCCCGCATGCACCCATTCCCGTTGCCTAGATTCTGACAATGGCGCCGGCGTGCACCGCTCCTCATGGCTCCGCTCCTTTTCCGGCCCCGACAGCAGAGGCAGCCATGGCGGCGGTAGTGGGCGGATCGGGTCGTGGCTGCTACTGCTGTGCCTTGTCCTCGGATTCGTCTACTGGGTGCTCGTGCTGCAGCTCTTCGTGGGTTTCGCGGCAATGCTGCAGTGCTGGCAGAGGCCGTAGTGAGAGTAGGGCGGCAGGTAGGACAGCAGCAGCAGCAGCAGCGCACAGTGCGTTGTGTTGGCATGAGGCGGTCTGTGAACTGCTGCACCAGTGGATGAGCCAGGTGGGGGTGACGCGAGGGGGGAGCTTGAGAAATAGGGGTTGACGGGGGAAAGAGGGTACACACGGTAGGGTGTGAGTGAATGCGTAAGCAAACATGACAAGGAGAAATTTTAGGGTAAGCTTTGGATGTGAAGAGGAGGCAAAGGAAATGTGAGAGGAAGGACGGAGATGCGTGGAGTAGTTGAGACGATCATGCCGAGAGGGGAGGAGGCCATGGGTAGATGAGGGATCTATGAGGGAGGAGAGTTATGGCAAGGTGATTGCATGGGCAGGAAAAAAGAGGGGCTTGTATCAATGAGGCTTGTATGAAGGTTTGCAAGAGATGCTCGCAGTAGCAGTGAGTCTAGCATGCACGCAGGCAGCAGGCAGGCAGTCTATCAGATGTGTCTCCCTCCTCGCGCAGCCGTGCCACTTGCAAATCCGCCTTACAACCATAGCCCCGCCACCAACCCCAACCACCACGACCACACCAATGACGACCAAGAACAGCACCAGCAGTACCATCTGCATCAACTACAGTAGCAGCAGCTGCCGTACACGTGGGCGTCAGTCCCACGCCTTACCCTGCACCTGCCTTTAGCAGGTGAGGCGAGCAGGTGGTGGGATGAACAGAGTATGTGAGGCGAGCAGGTGGTGAGACTTTTTATCATTCATTCCTTCTCCCTTTCACCATCGCCTTGCTTTGGTTCGCTTTATATTCGTGTAGCTCGGTTTTCTACTTTTTTTTTGCCTTTGGATTTAATCCCTTGATCCTGCCTCCTACAGCAATGGCTTTCCCATTTTCAATCCAGACTTCACCCTTCAGGCACCTTCAGAAGCAGCAGCAGCAGCAGCAGGGGGGCCAAGGGACGACTGGGTGGTGGTGTGGGGCAAGCGGCAAGGAGCGGGCACAGCTGAGGAGCTAGCAGCGTGTGGGTTGGATTACCATCTGCTGCTGTGTGAGGGGGATATGCTTGGAGAATGGGCTTGAGGAATATGAGCATAACTGTGGAGGTGTTGAGAGAATTAGCAGCAGAAACCTTTGGAGAAAGGTGTTGTATGATAGCGGATGGGGTGAATAATTGGAGACATGTAAGAAGCATAATGAAAGTTCCTACTTGTTTTCCCCCTAGTTTTAATGTACCAATCGTTGCTGGCCTCTCTAAATTACACCTCGGGGTGGCGGAGAAGTATTTGTGTAGCTGCATAAACTATAGAAGGGTGTCAGACCTTGGTATAGCAAAGTATTCTAGCGACAGAGTTTATTATAACCGTTCTATGTTCCTTCAAGCGGAGACAGCACAAATGCGCTTATCGCGCTGAGACTTGGCGCATCGAGTGTCCCACGTCGACTGCTTTGGGCCTGACCCATGAATCTGACCGTTCATTTTGAAATATGAAAATTCGTATTTGCAGCGTCGGTTTGACCAGCTGCCCAACTGGTCCGGTTTGGCAAAGCAACAAGCACACGTCCAAGACCCAGCAACATTTTGACGAGCAAATATGCAAAACAATCGAAGTTGTTTCACAAAATCGCTCGCCAGCGTAGTGCATGAAGGCAATTTAATTTGCTTCCACAGCGAAGTATTTCCCTCCTGCTCCACTTAGGCGAAAACTTGATTTGAGTTTGTAGTTTCTTTGCTTAAACTTGCATGCTTTGTGTAGCATTGTTACGAGTGCGATGGAACGAGGTAGCAAGGATTGCACTAGAGTGCCAAACGAGTACGAAGTATGAGCGAAGGCATGAGCGAATACTTATGTGTGAACATACAAAACGGTAACGTGGTGCGTGCGAGCTAGCTAGTGCGATGCTGGCATCGAGGTTCGGGCTAGTCCCGAAGCGTAGGCCGACACGGCCAGGCCAGCGACGCATGGTTTGGCAAATGCAGCGCGCGAAGGTTGGTAAGGCCCCGTTTGCAGTAATGGGCGAACAACGGTTTGTCTTGTACGCGGTGTTGAAGCACGCAGTAAGGAATGTCGATACATTCCTTACAAGCATACAGCCAAACAGCACTCTACCGCGAACAGCCAAGTGCTGAGTCCAGTTCCTAGGCTCCAACATCCAACCAACTTTGCCAAACCCTAGGGCAAACCTTCCCCCGTTTCTAACTATTTAGGTAGTTCGTCAATCGCACCGTGAACTTTGTTTCAATCACCTAACCATTCCTAGCCCTTTCTTCTGTTGGTGACTAGCATCTTCTCAGTAAGTCGCTACCGCTAGCCAACATCCTCATCCGTGCATCCTCCTTCCCCTTCTCCTACCACCCATATACCTTTTCGCCAGGCGCAGCGATGAATTTATCGATTGGCCAACGGCACATCTTGAAGCGACTTCGGTGATGACAGACGCAGCGAGCGCAATGTTCCTGGCGACTATAATGACGCTCGATGTGGCGACAACGAACGATGTACGCAACAGCGACACTTTTCTCTGCGACAGCGACCCTAAACACGAATTTTGCAACGCTGTGACGTTTAGTTTAACCCTCGCTGCAACGAAGTGGCAGCATGTGCCTCCCTTTTCATCTCCATCTTTATTTTGCCCACCCTCAACTTGTTCAAAACCCGGGTGTCATATTTCGACCATTTCAACACGTTCGAAACTCTGTAACCGTAGCAAAAGTCACCAAAAAGCAGCTGGGTTAGTTTGGGCGGAGGAAACACACCAAAACCATGGTCAAACAAAATCCAAGCAGGCTCGGGTACAGGCTTGTGTCCACCCAACTGCCTCGGCACCCCTTGGACCCCAACAATTTGCAAGAACCACCGTTGAGATGGAAAGCCTGGGGAAACAAGTGATGTGCGACATCTTTGTCATTGGCGAAAGCACCTCGACGGATAGCAACCGTAACACTACCAAGCAGAAAGAAATGTGAGACTTCAACTCCTTCGACTTCGACCCAGAGGCCCGCATGCACTAGCCACCACCAGGGCAACTACTAGTTAAGTAGCATAGCAATGTGAGACAAACAGACGTGCCTCCATAATTATACAGCTCCTGTTCCACATTTGCACGTGCGGATGGTCGATCTGCATTGCGTAGCGGCTTTTTAGTGCAACGTGCTGACACACAAGCGCGGGGTTCACCTTCCCACGAGAATCACGCACGCGATTATTAGGGACGAACAGCGCCATTGCAGAGTAGGTAAGCACCTTGTGTGGTCGGGAAGAATACGAGATTCGAATACGAGTATGTAAGCCTATTTTCGCCTACCATAATGCGTACACACGGAGGTTACAATTTGACTGATGCCACGTTAGAAACTAGCGAGAAACTCGATGGGATGATTCCGCTGGTTTAGGGTTGACCACGTAGCACGTACGATCCTATACTGTAAACCATTTCAGATTGTAACGGTTTCTAGCTCGAGGTGCATGTTGTAATTTGCCAGTTGAAATGAGAATGATGCCACAATTGAAATGAGAACGATGTTAAATGATAAGTAAAGGAAAGAATGCTTTCTAAATACACACGTCGATCGCACTGAAATGTGTTGAACTGCACAGGTCTGACATGAGGCTGCCTGATAAGGGGCCATAGGAAAACGCCCTTATCTTATCCAGCCAGAAGGGTATCTTACAAACAGAAGTTCCTTACATAAGTAAAAACCTGTATAGAAGACACTATGTTTTGTATCCAACACTATTTTTTATCCGGGCGATGACGGTAGGTACCTAGTAAATGGTTACATACAGATGACGGTAGGTGCTCTGAGATATGGTAGCATACATGGGGCATTGGACATTAGAAATATCAGAGTGGACCTTTCGTGACAATCATTCCAGGGAAGCTATCCCTTATCAAGCTTTCCACGTTTTCAAATGACGTTCCAACGCCCTTGAGCCCATTGAGCCATCTGACACTGTCAGCAGTAATATTGGCATTCCACAGCCCGAGCCTCTCCAGGCGCTTCATATTCCTCAGGAGCTTCAAAGTGGCATCGGTCATTCCTGGAGGCAGGCTGAAGAGCTTCAGGGAGGTGAGCGCAGTCAAGTGCTTCAGCCCTTCCTCACTGCCACCCAGCAAGAGATACTCTAATGACGTCAATTTTCCCACGTGCACCATGTTCGCAGAGGTGACCAGCTCACAACCACTTAAGACCAATGTTACAAGTGCATTCATCCCTCCCAGCTTCACTATTCCTGCATCGGTTATCTTGGTCTCACCAAGATAAAGTGCTTTAAGTACCTTAAGGCTGCTAATATCTTCAAGAGAAGCGTCCGTTGCATTCGTCTGTGCCAGATTTAGCAATGTGAGACCTGTGAGGGAGAAGAGATGTGTTAACCCCTCTGCAGTGAAGCCGGAGGAGTCTCGAAGGCTGAGCCGCGTGAGGGAGCGCAAGGAGGCGACTTGAGAGAGAGTAGCATCGGTGAGGGAGACACAGCTGCTAAGGTTCATGCTAGTCTCGCCCGGTGCAACCTTGCTCCACAACGTCAGCGGTGCCTGCAGCTACGGGGCAGCAGCAAGGTCAAACAAATAAGTTGTGGCGTCCGATGTGAGATAGATTGGCATGAACACCTTCCATCAGCCATCCGTGCCCCAGCAGTACTAGAAAGGACCAATTAAAGCAATCAAGCACTCACCTCCCACGTCTTGGCACCCGGCCCATTCGTCTCCAGCGCCACCACGCGATCGCACAGCTCCTGCAGCTCAGCCCCCGCATCAAAATCCTCCTCTCCGTTCGCTCCCCACTCCTCTTTGCTCTCAGAGTCGCTTCCCGCCATCTTCTCAATTTCCGCGTTATCCCCCTGTCCTTCGGCCGCACTACCCCCGACCTTAGGCTCGGTGCCCGCAGCAGCACCTGTCATGTTCCCCTCCTTCCCCGCGGGCTCCTCCCTCTTCCGCCTCTTCCCCGCACTGCTCTCCTCGCGCTCCGCGCGGCTCTTCTCCCCGCTCGCCTTCATGTGCCGACCTCTGCCGCCTGTTGTTCCGCCGATCCCTTCAATTGCGCAAGCTCCGCCTTCAGCGTGCCCATCTCCTCGCGCATCTCACCTACCGCGTCCCGCGCCTCCGCCCTCGCAGCTTCCACCTGCGCCTTCAACTCCTACGCCTCACACATATTTCCCGCGCGCCTTTCAGCGGCTGCGCGCCATTGGTTTCCGCCGCTGCCTTTCTGCCTTAAAGCGACGGTGCACATTTGCCACCCAAAACCCAGAACCCTGGCGAACTGTTACTGCGGATGGAAAGTGTCCGCACGAAATCCTGGTTTTCGCCAGCCAGCACTTTCGCGCTGGCAAGCCTGGTTCAAAAAAAAAACTTCTGAACCCAACACTGCCAAAAGTTGCCCGTCGCTTTAAGGGGCTTGCAAAGCAAATCCACAGCACTGTCGGGTCTGGAAGTTTGATGTGCACATGCATGATGTGAGAGCTGGTGTGGAAATTCGGATTCGTTGTTGGACCATCCGACATAAGTTCTTATCGAACAACCGTTCCAGCTTCTCAATCATGGCCTATATGCTACGTGTACGGTAAGTTGAATACGATTTGAACCCTTGTTCTATAACGTATGTCTTACAAAACTTCCAACTGAAGGGATGCCCATTGCCCACGTCCAGAAAATATAATATGGTGCTAGACGGAACCTTGGTTGCCTGCAGCACCAGCCATTGCAATCGCCTCATCCAACGAGTAATCTGGATGCTGAATGCGCTCAAGAATCGAGTCAACGGACTCCCCATTTGCACCCTCGCCATACCCGAATAGCTTTGTGTACAAGTCAGATAGTCTGACAACAATCTGGTCCATGTGGGGCCGGCTTGATACAGGCATGCTTGTGCACTGCAGGGCCAGCTGGGTCAGTTGAAGAATGATCTCAGGTGGAGCGTCAAGGCAAGGGTCTTTGAGGGTTTCAACATCCCCTGCTGCCAGCAGCGGCTCAGCCTGCAAGGGCATGCAATGAAAAAAACGACAGCCAGTTGCAACAGTGTAATTGTATGGGAAATTGCTGAGGGGAAGGAAGGAAAACAACAAAAAAAGCTAAGGTTTGGTTGGATCAATGGGCGGAACATGACTCGGAATGATGTGCGTAGGCTAGTGCAAAGTGCACAGATTACCCATTGCCTGATGTTGACGTTGTGGTCTCCCTCCTGCAAGATTGCTCTCTGGGATGTAAAGAGCTCCAGCATGACTATGCCATAGCTGCTAATTCCACACAGTATGCATACAATATCAACATGGGCATCGGATGCGATGTCACAAAGATAATGGAAGACGTGGCATGGTTTGTATTGGCACATGAACATACATGGCGAGGTGTATGTTATCAGCCCTAACGTGGCAGCATGGAAAGGCACGAGGATGAAAACGCATCATCAAGTGGTCGACACGGCAGAAAGAAAGAAGGGGAGAAGAAACAAATGTTAGGAGTGGAAAGCGGTGCAGCATGGGTTGACATCCATCCACCAGATAAACCCACTGTGCTTACCAGGCAGCAGCACCTACGCACCACCAAGTGGCAGCTAAGTGGCACGTTACTTGAGGCGTCCACAAGATTCGCACCCACTGGTACCGCCACAGCACACACCACCAGACCATTCTACCAAGCACACCACACTGTACCACCGGCCATCGGCATTCCACCAGTCACGGTAGCAGCAGCGCGGCCCACCTGTACACGTCGTTTGAGGGGGCGGCTTTGCGCGACTTGGAGTATGCGGGGTCCACATAGCCCGGTGTGCCGAGAATGCGTGTCGTGTCGCCCGTGCCCTCATCGCCCATCCTCACCAGCCCAAAGTCCGCCACCTTGGCCTGCCACGTTGCCGTGCATGGAAGGTACAGGCGTGGTGGAAGAATGCAGTGTGGAACGAAGAGGAAGGAGAGGCAGATGGAAGGCTACTTACCCTACAGGAGGAATCACTTGTACAGAAAATTAACGAATGCACATGAGATAATCAACACGAATAGACCAGAACAACGATCCATAATAAACGTTGTCATTGTGTTCGCGCATGTATGCGTGGCACGCGTGGGTGCATTTGCCATGTGTGTGTGTGCTGACCGTCATGTGTGCGAGCATGTGTGTACGTGCTGACCGTCATGTGGGCATCGAGCAGGATGTTGGCGGGTTTGATGTCGCGGTGCACGATGCCAAAGCTGTGCAGGTACTGCAGCCCACGCGCCACTCCCACCAGCACCTGCACGCGCTGTTGCAGCGACAGAGGCGGCCGTGTGGCGCCTGGGAGTGTGTGTGTGATGGGAGGTGGGGAAGGGAGAGGCATGATGGGAATGGAATATGGAGATGGTGGGATGGCTTATTCACACATGCACCTGGTATTTCACGTGTGCCCTTGCTTTCACCTTCACCCCACTGTGGCTTGACCTTCAGACATACACCCACGTAGGACAGCACAACAGGCCATCTCTGTCCAATCCCCCACCCTCCCCACTCTTCCCACCCACCCCGCACTCCCCACCCACCACGCACTCCCCACCCTTGTGAGCTGCGTCGGGGGAGTAGGCGGGCATGCAGGCTTGCAGGTCTCCTCCCCCCATGAACTCGTAGACGACGATCTGCTCGTGCTGCTCCGTGCGCGCATCCATGTGCACACAGTACCCCAGCAGCCGCACCAGGTGCGGGTGGTGCTTCGATGCCATCTGCTCCACCTGCCATGCCACGTCATGCAACAAGCCACGTCAACCACGCCAGCACGGCAGGTGGTGTGAGTTGTGAGTGCACTTGTAAGCAGAAGCACCATGACTAAAATCCCAGCGTTTGCACTCTGCATGCACGCACGCACCTCTCGGCGGAAGTCCTTGGTGATGACGCGGGCGCGCTTCACAGCCCACACGGTGCACCCATCTGAAGGCGCCACTCCCTTGTACACATCACCGTAGCCCCCCCGCCCGATCAGGTTGCCTGGCGACCACTCATTGGTTGCCTTCACCACCTCCCAGTACGGCAGCTCCCGACACACCACAGGCCCGCCCGCTGCTGCTGGGACTGCTGATGAAACTGCTGCAGGGACTACTGCTGCTGCGCCTGCTGCTGCAACTGCTGCTACGACTTCTGCTCAGGGGAGGCAGGGAGGAGGTGGGAAGAGGGAGACGGAGGGTAAAATGAGGAGGGGGGTGGGGGAAGAGAGGCTATGAAGATGGCGAATCCTGAGGTGTGCATAAGCGTTGACAGGATGTCTCGGAGAGAGTGGGAGATGCAAGCTGGAGTTTTAGCAAACGTCTGCGCTTCAGTTTTGTGAACAAAGTGTATCAGAAGCTTCTCTGCTGCCATACCTGGTCGACCCTCCTCATCATCATTCTCCCCTGCTCCTGCCTTCAATGCCTTTTGCACCGCAGCACTCTCGTGCTGATAATGCTCCTTGCGCTGTCGGCGTCGCCACACAAGGCACCCGACTAGGCCAAGGAGCAGCACAAGACAAACAATTCCGACCGCAATCGCTGCTATTACCCCCGTTGACATGCCCGACGATTGATCTGTGAGGAGTGAGGAGGAGAAAACAGGGGACAGTGGAACAAGATGGAGTCGGGCGAAAGGGGGTGGCATGTTGCCGTGCACAAGGTGTTGTCAGGACACTTCTTACTGTTGAGAGTGCATGAATCATCAGCACGTATCACACCTGCAGAGGGCGGCTGGCCTGCCGGGGGTGGCTGAGAGGAGGTGCCTTCCGTGCCTGGCTTTGAACTTGGTGGTGCTGATGGTGATGCTGATGGTACTGCTGTCGTTGGTGGTCCTGTTGATGGTGGTGCTGATGGTACTGCTGTCGTTGGTGGTGCTGTTGATGGTGGTGATGATGGTACTGCTGTCGTTGGTGGTGCTGTTGATGGTGGTGCTGATGGTACTGCTGTCGTTGGTGGTGCTGTTGATGGTGGTGATGATGGTACTGCTGTCGTTGGTGTTGCTGTTGATGGTGGTGGTGATGATGGTACTGCTGTCGTTGGTGGTGCTGTTGATGGTGGTGGTGATGATGGTACTGCTGTCGTTGGTGGTGCTGTTGATGGTGGTGGTGATGATGGTACTGCTGTCGTTGGTGTTGCTGTTGATGGTGGTGGTGATGATGGTACTGCTGTCGTTGGTGGTGCTGTTGATGGTGGTGGTGCTGATGGTACTGCTGTCGTTGGTGGTCCTGTTGATGGTGGTGATGATGGTACTGCTGTCGTTGGTGGTGCTGTTGATGGTGGTGGCGATGATGGTACTGCTGTCGTTGGTGGTGCTGTTGATGGTGGTGGCGATGATGGTACTGCTGTCGTTGGTGGTGGTCGTGATGGTGGTGGCGGGTGTGGGGTGGAAGGCGGTGATGACCCGCCAACAGACAAAACACCTGTACAATGAAAACCCAGGGTTGAGGCAATGACACACGGCCATGGGGGAATGGGAGTTGCCTGGCCTATCGCAAGGGAAGTAACACCGGGCTTCATTACTCATGGCTTTTGAGTCCAGTGCACGCAACCTCTCATGTACGCCTTTCCTCGGGCCGTATGGTTCTCGCACCACACTCACACACCTCACCCTGCGAGTGCGCTTGTGCAGCAGCAGCGTCACCAGGAGCATGCAAACAGAGCGTCGCGATGAGCAAAGCAGCACCATCATGAGCACATGAAGAGCAGCAGCCGCACATGATCCTCAGCCGCACATGATCCTCAGCAGCTTCTTCACTCATCACACCTCACGGGACTGCATATCTGCCTTGGCCGCTTCAACTGGCAAGACGGGAGCGCAAGCGCTGTGAGAGCACCCCAGGGCGGGAGCAAGCACACTAAACCCCACTCTCTGTGTGCCGCTTGCCACTGCACGCATGGAGGTGCAAGAGATGCGCGTATTCTGGACACTTCACGGGTATGATCAAATCAATTGGTGGGGTGGGTGGGAGTTTACCGGGAGCGCAGTAAGGGGAGCCAGCAGGGGTGGCGGTTTGGAAGAATCCCTTGGGGCAGGAGCAGCCTTGGAAGGAGACGCCAGTGACGAGGCAGACGCCGGGCACACAAGGAATGGTTGTCGGGTCCGTGCACGACCGGGGCACCGGCGCTGCGGAGCACATACGTGGGGAGAGGGCGGGTGGTGAGCGGAGTGGTGGAGTGAGTGCGAGGGAGAGCGGGAGAGAGGGAAGGAGGGAGGGGGAGGGACGGACGGACGGAGGGAATACAGATGGAGGGGGGCGCTCAGTACGGCCTATTCATTCCGGGATCGTACCATTCCATTTGGTGCACGCAGGGGGGGTGGAATCGCAGGAACAGTTGTGGACGGAGGAGGAGTTGTAGGAGTAGCACTTGTAGCCGCTCGTGGCACACATCATGCCGGCCGCGTTGCACGACAGCAGCAGAGGATCGCCGAAGCCAGGAAACTGCCGCGTGATGGGAGGACGATGAGATGGGGGAAGGGAGCGAAGGGGGAGAGAAGAGGAGAGAGAAAGGGTGGCGGCAGAAGGCGAGGCAACAAAGAATGTACAGCATGTGATCGCTTGCGTCTCAAGCGCAAAGTGCGCATGGCGATGATCCAGCAGCTGCAGAAACGAACAATCTCACGACGGGCGTACTACCTGTGCCGTGGCGCGCTGCAGCTGGTTGGGCGGCAGGAGCACGGACGGAAGGAGCAGTGCTAGTAGCAGGGGCAGGTGCGCCGCTGCTGGCGCCGCGGACGGTAAGCAGCGACGCCGAGGGCGGCGGCGGCAGCACGGGGCTCGCGCCGGGGCACCTCCGCAGAGCTTCTGTTCCGCCATGTGCCGCTTTGCGAGGTCGCTCAAGGATTGTGTGACCATTATACCCTCGACTGATAATGCTGCTCTGGGTGGATGGGATTCGGTGTCAGTCGCTTAAGTCAATCATTCGTCAGCAGCAGAGAGGATGACGGGGCGTGGTGAAAATCGGAGCCCGTCCGCTCTACAAGGGCCTCGCTAGAATCGCTGGATCCTCTACTTGGAATCGATTGACTATCAATTGCTGGAGCTCCGTAAGGAGATCTCCAGCCACCACAAATTATTCCCATCGAACCACGGAATAGCTATGTACTCAATTATAGATTGACTATCTGTTCAGATCTTCATGGTGTTCTTGGAGAATTTCCTCCATCCTCACCGTGCAAGGAATTTTCCGTATTCCTTACCGGGGTTGACTGCAACGCATACAACCCCCCGACACTTCAAACTTCACACGTTCGGCCTACATTTCCAATGCCGAGGCTACCCCGCGTCCAGGGCTCTCGTTATCAGACTAATTTAGTCTGTTGGTCTAGATTTCAGTCGCATTTTTTGTTGTTCATATGTTCTCGCAGACAAAAAAATGCGGCTCATATGAGAGCCCAGATAAGCTGTATATACTCATATGTTTTTTCAGAACACAGGTTATATTTCGTATGAGTTTCCAGACAGCGAGGATACATCTGTCTGATAACCTAAGGGAAAAAAAGATGCCCGAGAATCCCCTCGCAAGAATCGATCACCCACCCGCCGGAATCCGTGTTCACATCCAACTCCGCCATCCATACAAATTTATTCGCACTTTAAAAGTTTACATATCTTTTCACAGACGGCCTTAAATATTTCATCTGAAAATCAGATCACCCAGAAATCCGTTGGCGGCCTTAAATACGAGATACAGTTCGAGGTGTGCCGATGCCGCCCAAATTCGTTCCTGGAAGCTGTACGGTTGGCAGAGTCTAGAGATGAGCTGATGTAGTATGCGGTGACTAATTGTCGAGAGGGAAACCGTTTTCGCGGCCATATCCAATGGGCCACAATCAACGGAGTCAAAGCACCCGACCGCCCTTTTACATGGTTGTCTTTTAAGTGCGGGAAGCTGGTCACAGATATGCAGACTGCCTCGAGAGAACACCGGCGAAGAGGAGCGATAGGAATCGCAGCGAAATGAGAAGAGTCCGTAACAGATGAGCCCCTTACTGACTGCGCTCTGTCGCTCGAACACCACCACCCCCACCGAGTCGTGGTTCCGAATCATGCAATCAATCGCAGTCGGCCGAATAACGGGGATAATCATGTGGATCACCCTGTGCTGGTCGTCGGCAAAGTGTTAAAAATAACTTGAAAATGATCGTCGATGGAGGGGCCAGCCATAGCCTCTTCAACTTGGCGACAACAAAAAAATGCAAGCTGCAACTTGACAGGTGTCTGTCGAAATCGACGCTCGCCTCGTGGATGGGACGCCTTTGGCGATTTTGGAAGAAACATGGATGGTGCGGATCGACTGCGGCAACGATTTCGGCTTCAGCATGAAGTATATCGCAACCATGCTGGACGGCTGCGACGTGCTCCTGCGATTGGCTGCGGAAGCACAACTCCATCATTGATTGGACGACGGGATCGTGCAACATCAGCAAGCACGAGAGGCTACGCTGCCTTCATGGACACCTGGCTACATCCAAGCCCCGTGCGTCAAAGTCATCACTATAACTCGTCACTTCAACCGAGGCGCGCAGCTGTTCGCCGTATGCTTCCGCGAGTTGGCAGCTGACACCGAGGGAAAAGACATCAAGAAGTTGTGTACAACTTTACCAACGGATTTAGCAGAGCTGATTCGACAGTACCTGGACATCTTCCCCGACAATCTGCCACCTGGACTGCCACCCGAACGCCCCGAGGACCACAGATTACAGCTGGAACCTAGCGCACTGCCGACTGTTCATACAGTACATAGTGGTGGTTGACCCATCCGGAACTCGAGGAGCTGTAAAGGCAAATTAACGTACTGTTGGAAAAGGGGTTCATCCGACCCAGTACATCACTCTTCGCTGCACCAATCATGTTCACACTGAAAAAGGACGCGGGGCTTTGCATGTGCATCGACTATCGCACGCTCAACCAGGTGACCACTAAATCTCGCTACCCAATCCCACGCACCGACGACATCTCCGATCAACTTCGCGGTGCTCGTTACTTCTCAAAATTCGACTTACGGGGCGGTTACTACCAGACTCGGGTCTTCGCCAACGATTGTCACAAGACCGCGTTTCACACCCGGTACCGAAGCTACGAGTTTACCGTAATGTCGTTTCGACCTCAAAAACGCGCCAGAAGCAATTCACCTGTCAGCCTCTAAGTACACAGAGCAGCTGGGGGAACGCTTCAATATCTCACCCGCACCACTCTCAACTCCCTACCGTAACCCCAGCGCCAACTACAAACCGGACAATAAACCTCTGTCACCCGCAGGACTTGAAATGTACCAGCAGAGATTGGGGTGCCTACTATTCGCCTCTGTCACCTACCGACCCGACCTTTCGTACATCGCTAGCCAACTGGCACAGTACTCCCGCAAACCAATAGGTGAGAACCAGCTGGACCTGGAGCGCGCCCTGCAGGACTTCATTTCCACACCTGACATCGACTCTCCTACTCCATGCTGACGACGACCTCCTTCAATCTCAACGGCTACGTGGACGCAGATCACGCCGCTGACCCTGCAAATCAACGGTCCCGAACCGGCTTCGTTTTTCGCCTGGAACCAACAGGACCAATCTCCCGGAACTCAAAGAAGCAAGAGCTGGTTTCCCTGTCATCAGCTGAAGCAGAATACATCGCCGCGACAGCAGCAGTCCGCGAAGGCCTGTACCTACAGAAGCTACTACAGGAGGCGAAAATCCCAACTTCGCCCACCTTTCGCCTTCATTGCGACAACCAGAGCGCCATCAGGATCGGGAACAAGCCAGGTTTCGTGAACCGCACGAAGCACATCTCGCTTCGCTAATTCTTCGTCAATGACGAAATTGATCAGGGGAAAGTCGACCTCGCGAAGTGCTCGACTACTGAGATGGCAGCAGACTTCCTCACCAAGCGTCTGCCACGTCAGCAGTACAAGCACTGCTCAGACCTCACCGGAGTAGTCAAGCGAGTCAGCTCCTGTCAAACATTATATGTTTATATTGTGTAGGCTATAGTGGGTTTAGCCTTAGGGGGTACAACAAACTTAGGGTTTCATACTTGTACCCAACTTCTTTCTAGTTCATTCATTCTCGTGCAGTACTATCTTCTAACATGGTATCCGACGCCTAGGTTAGGACCTAGGACCCACGTTCGGTAGGGCCCACCGTTCCGCCGCGCCGTCGAGCGCCTCGCTTCCTAGCGCCGTCGCGCGCCTCCTCTCCTAGCGCCGTCGTGCGCCCCTCCTCCTCGCGCCGTCGAGCCCCCCCCTCTTCCTAGCGTCGTCGTGCGCCCTTAGCACAGCCGCACGAGCCGCCCGTCAGCCGCACGCGCAGCTGCCTACTCCGCCGCACGCGCAGCCGCACGATAGGCCGCACGCGCACCCGCACGTACGACAGCACGCGCAGCAGCTAGCGCAGCCGCGCGCGGCCGCCCGCACAGCCGCACGCGCAGCTGCACGCTCGGCCGCACGCACGACCGCACGCACGGCCGCACGCACGACCGCAAGCACGGCCGCACCCACGACCGCACGCACGGCCGCACACGCAGCCGCACGCACAGCTGCAAGCGCACGGCCGCCCACGCAACCGCACGCACACCTCCGCGCTAGGGGGTGCGTGCAGTCACGCGCACAGCCGCAAGAGCAAGCCGCCGCGCCGCCCTGCCCGAGCCGCGCCGCGCCGCCCTGCCCGAGCCGCGCCGCGCCGCCTGCAATTCTAGCTTTCGATGCTGAGGGCCGCCCGATCCGCTTTGACACCTGGCTCGATGACCTCCATCTCTTCCTCCAGCTCACTGCTAAGGAGGATATCTCACTGTATGACCATGCGTTAGGCCTCGCTCCTGCCCCGGCTGAGACAGCTGATAGTACTACCCGCTCACAGTGGCAGACTCGTGACGCCCACTCTCGCTTCGCCATTCGCAACTCCCTGCCGGTAGATGAACGCGAGCACTTTAGCCAGCAGAAGACTGCTCAGTCACTGTAAAAAGCTGTCGTTGCTCGCTACTCCTCACCTGCCTCTGCTGCGCTAGGCCGCCTCTCACTGCCCTACCTGTTCCCAGACTTGGCCACATTCTCTACCGTTGCCGACCTCATTACTCACCTCCGCACTACTGAGATCCGCTTCCGTGCTGCCATGCCCGCTGAGTTTCTTGCCAAGAATCCCCCCCCGCTGTGGCTCACTCTTTACCACCTGGTCACCCGTCTCCCTGACTCCCTTCGTGCGGTCAGGGACACCTTCCTTGCCATGTGCCCCACCGAGCTCACCATTGACCTGCTTGAGAAGCACCTGCTGGCAGCCGAGTCTAGTACAGTAGCTGTCGGTGCGTCTCGAGGCGACCCCCGCACCCCCTTCTTCGAGGGGTGTTCCCCCTCCCCACTTCTTCCCTCTGTTGCCTCTGCTGCTGCTGTCGACCTTCTCGGTGCTGAGAAGGTCGGGACTGCGTCTACTGCGAGTGCGAGGCGCCGCAGCGGC